ACACACACTATTGAAAACCCTGTGGAACACAGTTTTTACTTTGACACCCTTGGGAATGCCATTATTCAGAATGAACCTATGACTTTTTTTGGAGTGGTAAAGGCTTGGCCAGTGCAGGGGCCATGGAACTACAGAGCCTATATAATTAGTAGTAATAGGTGTCATTATTTTGTGTGTGTGTATGGTAGTTTGTTTTTAGTTGCTGTTCAGTCGAGTCTGACTCACAGCAATGCCATGTGTACAGAACAGAACAGATCTTGCTTGTTTTAAGATTAGGCTTTAAGACCCCAGATGCTATTCTTTTTGATATCTGGGCACATCTAGTTTCTTCCCCACACCTGTGTCTTCAGTGGTCCCTTCATGAGGAGGGCATTGAATAGGGGAGTCAAACCACTTTCAGTGTGGCCTCGAAACAGGAAGGAATGGAAGTGGTTGCCTGTTGCTCACGTTGTTGTTATTATTGAGGGTTGAGAGTGTTGTCTCTGTATTTTAAAATTGAACGTTATTAAGTCATCATTTACTCAGTGTGTTAGTCTGGGTTGACTAGAGAAACAAATTCATAGACACTCATATGTGTATAAGAAAGAACTTTATAGAAAAGAGCAATTGTATATTGAGAAAACATTCCAGCTCAGTCTAAATCAAGCCCATAAGTACAATATTAGCCCATATGTCCATAAATTCATCTTTAGACTCACGAAACACATGCAGTGATGCTGAATACAGGAAGACCACAGACCAGTGGGTAGAAGGTATTGTGGCAGTGGAAGCATCTCAGCGCTGGCGCGTGTCTCCACTTGTCTCCTCCTGCTCTCCGAGTGCCTCAACAGCAGGAAAGGGAAGACAGAGAGACTGGTCTGGCTTCCAGTGACCCTCCAAATGAGGTCATCAAGCTGTGACCTGATTGACAGGCTAGACTCCACCCTGTTGCTAAAGTTGACATTATGTAACTGCCACACTCAGAAAAAAAAAATCAAAACAAACAAATCCATTTAAAATGCACAAATCCATGAAACCTGACGAACTTGTTACTGAGATTTTCATGTAAGTGTTTTGAGAAATCGGTTCTGAATGTTGTCGAAGCGTCTGTCCCCTTTGCCACTCACCCTGGATGGAACATTCTTCCCCACCCAGTGCGTGTATGAAGTGACTTCTGCCATTGTCACCATCACCTGGGGCTTCCTCATCGTAGTGGCATGCTGTTGTTGCCTATTAAGTATTCTGTGCTATAGACAGTCAGTGGCCAGCTAAGAGGAGTGGCTTCTTTGGTCCTGTGTGGAAGGCTGGTTTTCCTCTTAGCGCGGTTTTGAGACGCATTTCTCTGACAAAAGTGAGGTAAGTATTTCCTTTCCACAGGGACTGGCAGCTTGGACTGCCCTGCCCTGCCCTGCCCTGTCCTACTACCCACGGTGCAGAGATGCCCTCACTTGGCCCAGCTTCCCTACTCCTGCCTCTTCCTCCTGGCCCCCAGGGCTCTTGTGGGCTATTTCGACATGTCCCTTCCCAACAACTGACTTGGTGACTTCTTTTTCTGTGCAGTGCCAGATCCGCTTTGGAGGGAGGAAGGAGATTGCCTCAGATTCCGATAGCAGGTAAATAGATTTCCTTGATCAAAAATTGATCCTCAAGACCCAAAGATGGAGAGAGCTGGACCCACTTCTGTCCTTGGCCTCTGTGCTCAGCAGTGGGCCCAGGTGATCCATAGCCATCTATGCAGTGCCTGCTCATCTTAGTAAGTCACTCCCCTGCTGGGCTGCCACGTGAGGACAGAAGCAGAAATCCCTGTCTGCAGACAGTTGTTTTCACGGTGGCTTATAGTCATGAAAACATAGAAACTAACATGCTTCACCCAAGGAGGAATGGTTAATAAAGTAGTGTATTGATAGGATGGAATAGCCATTAAGATGACATAAAGTTTGTTTTAAGTGGAAAAGTGCAGAGTATTCACACATATGAAGGGTGCCGAGTGATCATAAATCCAGCTGCACCGCGCTGCTGTGGAATCCAGTTCTCAGAGACCTTGGAGGACAGAGTAGAACTGCGGTCATTCTGGCAGAAGCAAAGGGCCTCCTCTTTATTCCGTGGACCAACTGACCGGCGGGTTCAAGCCACGGCACTTTTAGTCAGCAGCTGGACGCGACCATTGGGTCCTCAGGGCCCCTGAGCACGATCCCGGTTATGTTCAACAGCAACGGGAAGGTAAATTGGAAACCAGCAACAAGCAAAAACAAAAAACAAAACTTTGCAAGAAACACTGAACTGTGAACAGAGTTTGTTGGGGAGAAGACTGTTGGGAATCTTTATACTTTGTAGTCTTTTCCGTAGTTCCTACTGTGAACATGTGACTATCTAAAGTAAAATATATGTTTTTAAAATTCCTGAAAGTTGCCATGGGCACTCATGACCTGAGGAAGGCTTGGCTAATCGCATAAGCTTATCACATTGACTGGGACGGAGGGCCACCCAGAGGGGCCTGAGCCTTTCCGCCGGTTTCCCCAAACCATCAGATCAGCTCTGAGTCACCATTGGCCGGCCAGGAGCATTCCTGTTGGGGGTTGGGGGTGGGGTTGGGGGAGGACAGGAAACTTGCTTGCTCAGCATTCATTCTTCCTGGGCCTGTCCCTCCCCCTCTCTGCCCTGCTGAGCCAGGCATTCGCCTGCCCTTTTAGCCTCTTGTTTGCCTGTGGTGTCAGGCTGCCCCAGCTCTTCAAAAAACTAATTCCATCTCGTCTTGAGGCTCATATGAGACTGGCGTCTGTTTTAAATGACACGCTCCTCCCCTCTTTGCTTCATTTTCAAAATAAATGGATTATACCTTCTGCAGACTGCTTTTGCCTGGTATCTGCCTCCTCTACCGCTAGAACTCCAGCTCTGTGAGGGCAGATGGAGGGCTTGCTTGCTGGTAGCCCTGAGCCCAGAAGGGTCTCAGAAGGATTTGCTGTCTGGGGGTGTGGCGTGACCACACAGTTCTGGGATTTTCTTATGGCTGTGCATCACCAGCATCGGTCCTAGGTACCTGCAGGCCCTCAGTGTAAGAGTGAGGCACTAGATTGCTCTGCCCGGGGCCTGGGATGGGTCTGGAAATGGCATTGGTCCACACAGGGCTTCTGCTCTAGTGATCAGAGCCGCCTAGGATGCTGGATTGATAATATAGATTCCATGCCCACTCCTGCCCATTCCATGCCCAGAGTGGGCATCTGTGTGTATAGTAGGGGTCTGTGTGTCTGTGTAGAGTGTGTGTGTGGGTGTGCATGGAGTATGCCTGCATGTGAGTGTGTGGAGTGTATATATACCTGTGTGTGTGTGTGTGTGTGTGTGTGTGTGTGTATTGAGTGTATCTGTGTGTGGAGTGTGTACATGCCTCAGTGGTGGTGTGTCTGAAGTAGGAAGGTCAGGAGTCTGTATGCCCACCAAGCTCCTGAGGAAATCCTGATCGACACCAAAATTGTCTTTCCAATCACTGATGCTGATACTGGGATAGTTAGGGGGGCTCACCCTTCCCCTACCCTGGGGAAATGTGTGTAGGTCATATGTACATGTAGGAAACATGGGATGAAAAGATAATGGGACATTTCCTAGAACTTTTTGAAGTGCCCTGGTATATCAGTGACAACTTTTCCCTTCTCTTCTCAATTGTGCTGTGTCGTCTCTGAAAGAGACAACCCTGCACCGAATACCACATTATCTTGGTCTAATAGGACGTCCCTGGGGCACTGGCACTTGGTGGGACTCCAGGGTCTTTCTGGGTCTCTCAAGGTTTTCACCTTTGTCAGGGTGAGGTTTACCAATTTTCTATCCCTCTCTCTCCATGGGAAATAGTTGTTTTCCTTTCTGACAGGCTCCTGCCCTACACAGGTTCCAGCTTTCTTAGCTTTACTGTACTTTTATTGTGTGAGACATTATCTTATAGTAGAATTAAAATCTTCATGACTGCTGCTTATGGCTCAAAGGCATACGCAGCTTAGTGCTAGTCCTAATAGTTAAGACTCAGTGGCCATTACTCCGCTCCTTGCTTTACCTGGAGTAGGGGTCTGAAAACGTCTGTGGAAATGGGAGGGGGCAGCATTTTCCCTTGGGTACAGGTGAGAAGACATCCCAGGTCCGACTCCCCAGAGTGCCAGAGTTGGGAGTTGGATCTGGTCCCTGGGGCTCCAAAGTCCCTTGTCTCCCTGTCACACCATAGTTAGTGATTAGAGAAGTGGGTTTTGCAGCTTTCTTTTTGTGAGAAGGCTTTTTCCCCTCAAGAAGCTCTTTTTCATGATCAGGGTCCTGCTCTTAGCTTTTCAGTGGGGTTGGCTACAGGTGGTGCCACGTTCAAGTAAGAAAGCCCACAAGGGGTCAATGTGGGTGCTGGGGACAGGTAGGTATTTCCCCTGGCTTGTAGGGAATCTATCAGGGATTAGAGTACAGACTGTGATTTTCAGCTGACCTCCTACTGTGTGTCTAGCACAGAGTGACCCCCAAATGAAAGCGTGTTTTTTGCAGGACTCATGACTATTTTAGATATGCAATAAACCCACGGAGCAGAATTTCTCGGCATTACCTAAGGGCTGTGCTACTCTCTTTCCAATTCTTTTTCCAGGCCCAGTGACAGTGAGGCGAAAGTCCCCAGTTGGTATACATATTAACTTGAACTAAATGCATATGCTGAGGTAGGATCATGTTTGAGTACAAAAACAGTGTCAGCTGCCCAAATTCCCTGCTCTCCAGTTAATTTCCACTCACAGAGACCCGCTAGGATGCAGAACTGCCCTGCAAAGCAGTGTTGACACTGGGGAAGGGGAGGCCACACAGGACTCACTTCCCATGTTCTCAGAAACCTACCTCCTGTGGAGGAAGCATGCTGTCACAGGGATTGATCCTGTGTGCACTTCTCCTCCTCGCTTTGTTTTTCTCCAAGAACAAAGGCTCGCTCTCCGGCCCATTAAAGCCATTTCATGTGCCCTAGAGGCCACGAGGGTGATGTCACCCAGTGCAGGATCTCATGGTGTCTCCCATGCCAGACCATGCAGAACCCTTAGTAATGTTCATAGAAAACATTTTAAAAAACAAGTTTTAATCATAGAATAGTACATGATCTTGTTATAAATTGCTTCAATGTCATACTTAGATTACATGAGTAGTAAGAACCAAACTGCTTTTGTAAAATTATTCTACATTGAATTACAGCCTTATTAGTAATTGAGTTTCTGTCTCCTTTAATTAGTACTTCCTTCTCAAAAATGCTTTTGATATAGGTTCACAAATATTACTTACCACAATTTTTGTAGCTAAAATTCCAGCTAATTCTTTTTGATTGAGGTTTTTCTTTGTTGCTGTTTTTAGTTTTTTTAATAAATGTTTTTCTCTATATGAAATCCAGGGTTAAAAAAAAAGAAAAGAAATCCAGGGTAGGAAAATCTATAGAGACAGTCACTGGATTCATGGTGTCTTGGGGATTTGGCAGCGGACGTTGGGGGGAAACGGGGAGCTAATAACAATGAGCACAAGAAAGAAGAAAATGTTCTAAAACTGGTTGTGGTGATGATTGTACAACTCTTCTTGATGTGATTGAATTATTGAATTGTATGACATGCGAATTATATGCTAATGAAACTTTAAAAAAGAAATGTAAAACACATAATGTATAAAAATCTCTATCAACTGTGTCAATATGGATAAATCTGAGAATTTTATAATCCCAAATTGCAGAATTAGTTGTATAGTATAATAAATTTTATGAGTTTTAAATTAATAAAACACTGTTTATGAAGCATACAAAAAAATACCAGCTAAAATTAACAAAATGCAATAGTTTATTTTGAACAATTTCACTGACATACAGTTCACGTGTCATACATTCATACATTTCAATAGTTTAATCACATTAATAAGAGTTGTACAACCAGCACTACAATCAATTCCAGTACACAAAATCAGCGACTGTTGATGTCCCAGCGGCCATGAGAGTTAACAGTTCAGGCTTATAGCTTGGGCAGGCAAAATTACATGAGCGGTAGTGGGTGATAATGACAACTTTTGACTGGAAAGCTTAAAAAATAAATTAGAAGGTTCAAACGTAAATTAGCTAAGTGTTTTCACCTTCTAGGCATATTAGTACATGTAAGCCAGGCCTCTGAAAAACACTTTTCTTTTTATAACTAGCTGCAGGGATAGTTTGATAAAAATAATACATCTCTGCTGAAACAAATACACATTTCGTAGACATTTCTTTCGAATCACCCCACCCAGTGTCACCCTGTGTGGTCTGCCTCTGCCATGATCTGTCAGCCACCTTGACCTGCAGGGAGACTTGATAATAGCTTTGGAATATCTTGCGGTCTAGAAACAATGGCCCCCAGAGGACTCAGTCAGCACTGGACAATACCTTAAAGGCTAGGTTCATTATTGTTGTAAGAAGCATCTTCATCCCTTGTGGGGTTACAGAGAATAACCTGGAGGTTTCCCTTGGGATTATAAATTGAAGAAGAGAATTAAGAGGCATGGGATTTGGAGCTCAATCTGAGTGCTGGTTTTGCCAGTCCAAGCAGTGTTGTGCCCTTGGGCATGTTTCTGGCATTCTGATGCCTCAGGTATCCTCATCGGTAAAATA